CCCCCCCCCCCCATGTGATCGTGGACCATCTTGAGGAGGCGATTGGGCTCGTCCAGTCCAAGTCAGGTTTGCAAACTAAGTTCTGGTGGAAACGGGCAGTCTCTCGGTTTCACTCCTGCATCTGAGGGTGGAGAAGCGAGTTGGATGGGAAATACATTTCTGTGTGAACAGGGAATAGTGCAGTAACCTGATTCCGCCCTAGCTCACCCGGCGGCTACATTAGTGAGAACCGAGCCTGCAGACTGCCAGCTCTCCCTACAGGGAAGCTCTGTGCCAGGGCTTAGTCCAAAATAAACCTGTTAGCAACTGGCCCAGTCTGGGATGGGGGTCCCGAGAGTCCCTTAGCCCAGTGGCATCCAGTCCATTCTGCTGTAACAGGATCCTTCGGATGCTCTGCTTACGCTTTCGGTACCTACGCCCTTGGAGCCGCTGATAGATCTTCGCGAGAGACGGGTTTTTGTGGGTGGGAGCTTTTATTGGACCAACTGTGTTAAGTCTGACTTAGTTCAGCTGGTTACATCTCCTGTCTTCGGCAGCTCTCCTGCGTAAATAGACATATATGGCCACTAACCTCCGCTCTGTAGGAGCGAGTTGTAAATGACCCTTGGACAAAAAAAGCTTACGTGGGTTTTTTTAAACCACATAAAAAGCTGAGCATCAGCGATGCTTTAATCAATGTGATAGCAGGACCCGTGCTTGAGAAACTAGGCTGCGGTGCTGAGTATGGCGGAGCCACGCTCCCGTTGCTGCTGTGCTTGGAAGGATCTGCTGGGATCGGTTTCTAGCTCACCAGAGAGTGTCAGGTCGCGGAGCGGGACCTCGAGCGGGGCCCGGGGAGGGGAGCTCAGCAGCTGGGATTTCTGAAGAGGCAGGCTTGTCGAGGAGAGGCATTACCCAAGAGTGTGAGGTGCCCAGGGGAGCAAACAAAAATGCGGGGTGGGACAGGGGCACTGGAGAGTTAGGGCCGATTCTCCGGCGCTTCACACGGTCGCTCGCTGGCTGAGAAATGTGATCGCCGGTGTTACGTCTGCTCCTGCTGGCCCCTGGCACTTGGCCGCACAGACTCGCGGTGGCCCGCGGGCCACAACCCGGGAACAGCCTCCCCCAGCGCAGTTTGGGCAGCCTGTTCCTTTGACTTCTTCTCCCTCCACCCGTTGAGTGACTAAAAACAAGGCTTGGTCCCGGCCCAACGCCCTTGAGGCCGTCTCCGTCTGCATGCAACCCCGCCTTGAGTTGCGGAGGGTCGGGGAAGCCCTCCTTCTGCTTTCCCGGGTGTCCATCTCTCCATCCCTTGGCTTCTGAATTAGACCAGTGAGGCTGGGTGCAGTCGAGTCTAGTTAAGTAAATGTTTACGGCAAGATGTGAGGAAGAGACAGGTCTCGTGGGGCCTGTCATAGCCCCTCGCAGTGCAAATGCTCCCCAGGAATCCCCCTGCCCTGAGGACCTGGCTCCTTCCCCCATCCCCGCAGACCCGAGCCTCCTCAGTGACCCACGCTGGGGTTTGAGAGGCTCCCCCTGGCCGGAGAGTTTGCACCACTGCGCGGAGAGTTAGCGCCAGCCACCTGGGAAAGACAGGACTTTCATTTGGGGTGGGGGGGGGTCGAAGTAAGGTTTTAGGTACCTAGTTTAGCACCCTCCTCCCTCTTACCCCGCTGTGGATGTGTCCAGAGGGCTGCGGGCATCTGTGTCACAACCCTCCTTCGTGTGGGAAAAGCAGTGTTGTTCTAAGGACAGAGAAGGCAGGGCTGCAAAAGGTCCCTCAAGCCACAGCAGAGGCTTCCCGCAGCCCGCCTGGCCTTGGGGACCTTTCCATAAATGCTGGAACACGGCATGGTTACAGGGACGTGGTAAATGCAGGGTGAAAGGCAGCTTCATGTAGCCCAGGGCGGTCGTGCTGAGTCCGAGGCTGGCCCGGCACTATCAGCCACCTGCCAGCTGGGCAGTGCAGTCGCGGCCTGTCATGCAACACCTGCCCGGGTACTGTGCGGTGGAGAGGAGCCCTCCTCCTGCCTCAAAGCCCGGCCACAAAGGAGTCCCGACCGTCTCTGCTAAGTCGCTT